AGAGACAGAGAGAGGTTCGGTGGGCCCTTCATGTGGCAGTCCAACAGACCCTGCCTCCCTGATAACTTCCACCACTTGTGAATGCCACAGCAACCAGCTTCTTCAGGCTGGGCAAAGAAGAAAATCCTAGTTTCCCATTTGGCCCAATTTTTAGCAGCAACATCTTCATAGCACACTCCACCACGACTGGTCCTTACCTATAGGTTTTTACTCTGCCATTTTTGTACAATGTTTAATTCAAACCTATACTTGCAGTTTCTAAAATGCTGACCCACAAACCACTTCTTGTGTCACTCATGTAGCAATGAAAACAAAAGGCAGGAATCACCCATCTAAGGAATGACTTCTTTTAGAACATTCTTTTATTTTCTTTCTTTTTTTTAAATTTTATTTCAATTTCTTTTATACATTCAATCATGTTATTTAGCTTGCAAAGTGAATATTTCAATATGTATACATTTCTGACCAGTCAACAATGCTATGAAGTTATCTTCAACAGGTGGCACTATTCACAATTGCTAAGTCATGGAACCAACCCAAATGCCCACGAACAGCTGAATGGATTGAAAAACTGTGGTACATGTACTCTATGGAATACTACTCAGCCATAAAAACCAAGTTCCTGGCTTTTGACAGGAAGTGGATAAATATGGAAAATCTAACACTACTTAAAGATATTCATTTTACAATCCTACACCTTGACAAAGATACACTGGTTTGTTTTGTTCTTTTCACTCAGTTGAATTTCCCAAAACTACCTATTACAGGTTTGCTCTTTTTGGATATCTCCAGTGCTTTGCCAATTGTTGTCTCATTCTCCCCTTGACATTTGGGACAGTACCTCTTGCCCTGTGGTTTATGGTTATGTCGCACCCCAAGAAGTAGATCCACTCAATGGAGCACTTGTCATGTCGTATCCTATCATCTCTCCACAGGAGACCTGATTGCACACACAGTATGTCTGCTCCTTCTGGAGGATGGGAGAGTCTGTGGGGGACACTTCTATTTCTGCTTTGGCCTTGGAGTATTTCTTCTTATAGGAGGATTTTCCTTTTTTCTCCTTGTGTGTCCCTGAGGTGATGTCATACTCATGATTATTAGGTCCATCCTCTGGGTTCTCATTGTTTCACTGTTCCCGGGTCCACTAGATTTTCAGCTTTTCTGCCTGAGTGACTGCCTCATTCTTACACTTCTGGACAGCTTACCCTGTCACCTATGGTGTAGTTGATGTCCTGATGTGCCACAGAGTTTAACATACCTGTCCACTTGTCTGGTCCAGTACTCAGCCAGATCCACCATCTGACTCACAATCAGGAAATTCTCATCTCCCAGCTCCTAGCTCTGAGTCAAGGCTCTTCGAATGCAGTGCAATACTCGTGTCTTCTGGGTACCGTTCATCTTGTGTTTAAACTTCTCATAATATTCATCCAAATCCTTCAGGATTTCTCACATTCATGAATTCAGACCTCACCTACAGCAGCAGGATGGCATCTGATGGGCTACCCATGACGGCCCCCAAACTGCTTTGCGTTGGGCTGCGCTGGAAGGTGTTGGCCCCAAGTGCCACCGGGGTGTAGGCATCTCGGCAGATTTGAGGGGCTATCTGCTTTTTGGAATAGTGCCTGTGAGGTCTTATTTCAGGAAGGCCTGAAGCCCTTCAGTCTGTATGGATTCCTTAGCTTTCAGAATGCCAAGACCACTCCAAGGGCCATACAGTCCTAGACCACCACCTCCTGGAAGCCTCCCAGCCTCCAGCCTGAACACACACCCGTGGGTCACCCATGCTTCTCAGCAGCACTGTAGGGTCCACAAGAGACAGCCTGGAGCTCTTGAAGGCCTGCTCCAAGGGTCACTAGGGTCAAGCCGGAGACCAGAATGGTGCCTGGACTCCAAGCCAGAACCCAGAAATCCACTGTTACTCAGTATCCAGAAGTACCTTGTCATTTTTAAATGTTCATATGCCATTTTTTTTTTCTTTTGAGAGGTTTTTGCTACAGGGCACGTGCACTCGCCAGAAAGACAGAGAGAGATAAAGAGATAGAAAGCGGGATATCACCCCCCCAGGGAGGATGGTCATGCCACAATCCCTTCTCCATTCTCCTCTCGGGATCTTGGGCATGCACGCACACGTACCCGGTGTGAGTTTAAGCCACCAGGTCTGGGACTCAAACTGCCGTAGACTACATGGGAGTTCAGTGACATAGCTGTTACGCTAACTGCTGGTCCCATTGTTCATATGCTTTTAATTGTGCTTCATTCACTCCCAATTTTATCCTTTATTAGAGACAAAATTATACAAAAATTTGTGTAAGCAATACCATGATGCTGTTTCAAGATGTTAATGAGATTTAACTTATCAAATAATGAAACATATTCAAAATATTTGTATGAGTATAAAAGGAGAGAGACACTATGTCTTCTTAGTCATTACTGAGAATAAGCACAGAGGACCGAATCAAATTAGGTCATCTTGCAATGGCTTTACCATCAAAGAAAGCTGATCTTTGCAAACGTGACTAAAACACTGTGGATCTCTGTAACACACTGCACTGCATGAAATACTGTGTTCTATTAATCTGAAATGAAGACAGAGTCTTCATTTAGAACACACAAGTCCCATGGATTGCAGACTGCAAGCTTATACAATACAATATTTACACAAGACACATTATTACTATGAATTATTATTATCATTTTAGTGCAAAAGATTTTTGTTCTGAGAGCCCATTTTATAAAATTTGATTGTATCACACCTTAATTAACATTATACTTATTTAAATGAAGACAGTCCTCATTTCCTCATGTGTTTCTCTGTGTTTCTCTTAAGGCACAGTGAGAACAATGTAGATTGTTTTCACTCTTGTAGAATTTCCCTCGGGAGACAACAAACAATTAACTGAATATTCCCAAAGCATTTTGAAATATATTAAAAAGCCTTATGGATGTCTAACATTTGTTAAAGATAATTTTTATTCACCACTGTGTTAGGGGTCTCCAGAGAAATAGAACCAACTGGATTGATAAATAGATACATACATTGATAAACAGAAATACACACAGATAGAAAAGATGTATTATGAAGAATAGTTCCTATTAGGAAGGCTGAAAAGCCCCATGGATTGTAGACCGCAAGCTTACACAATTCAATATTTATACAAGACACATTATTACTATGAATTACTATGATCATTTTAGTGCAAAAGATTTTTGTTCTGTTTGAGAGCCCATTTTATAATATTTGACTGTATCGCACGTTAATTAACATTATACACTTATTTAAATGATAGTAATTCCATGCTACATATGTTGTGTAAAGTGTACATATAAAAGCAATTATTTCTACAATAGTGTTTTATTGTTTTCATTGATAGGAAAGATAAAATTTTCTTTCACTTTTTTAAATGTTGCACATTGACTATATCTGCAGTGGTAAGTATGAAGTCCCAAATGTAAAATTGTTTAATTAGTTGAAAAAACTTGATGTTAGTTTTAAATACCTAAGTTTGTCTTTTATTGTATCAGTTGTTAATAAAGTTTCAAAATCCAAAAAATACCACATAATTTATTTCATTTGTAGAAATTATTCCAATACTACTCACAACACATGTTAATAACAGAAAAACAGTCTTAAAATGAGGGGAATTTATAAAGTTGTACAAGGAAGTAATTCTTTACAGAACTGAACGCACATAATAATATCCACTATGGGATTTAAAGACTGCCAATTTTTTTTTTTATCTTGAAAAATGCGATTGAGATTCTTGGCAGAGGAGATAAATGGGAAGGGTGTTGAATTTTACCAACTCCAAATGGAGTCATTCCAAAAATATATCTATTTTAGGGCCAACCGATAGCATGGTGGTTAAGATAGCTAGATGCCCAGTGGGTTACTGTACAGTTCAAGTCCTAGACCCAGTGACTTGAAAACATGTTAGGCATGGGTTTCTATGTACATACTTAAAATCTCAAAAGGAGAAATGGAAGGGAAATCATTGCGGCATGAATTCCCCATGGAATGGGGTGCTTTCTCACTTTCCTCCTCACTCTCTAGATCTCTAATGAGCATGTGTGGCCTCTGGCAAATAACAAATAAATAAAAAGATAACCTGAAAACCAAACATACATCTATTTTTTTTTTTTTTGAGAAAGAGATGTTTGATATAGGGCATGTGCACTCACTAGAGAGGCAGAGATAGAGAGACAGAAAGTGAGAAATCACCACCCAGGGGGGATGGCCACACCGCAATCCCTTCTCATCCATTTTCCTCTCAGGATATTGGGCTTGCACACACAGACCACTGGCATGAGTTTTAAGCTGCAGGGTCGAGGATTCAAACTGTGGTTGACTATATGGGAGTCCAGTGATGTAACTATTACACCATCTTCTGGTTCCCATACACCTGTTTTTAGGTGGATATTTAAGGATTAAATAAACTAAAATTTATAATAGCTAGGCACAATCTATATTTTGTTACTAGCTCATGGGTGTCTAACCAAAGAGAAAAGCAAATAAATAACTACAAGATGGAAAATCATGGTTATACTCTCTTATTTAGTATTTGTGGAGATTTATCAATATTTAAAATGTAATGAAAATTTTAAAGATAAAAGCAAGTACCAATTATACAATTATCTTAATCTGAGTAAACAAAATTTTAAAATACTGAGAAAAAACTCTATTTTTATAACTATAAATGTATAATCATATATATATATATATATTATATACACAAATATCAGAAAATGTAAGTATTATTTTTGAGTGGCTAATTTAATTTAAATATCAGTGGCCTAATGTCTTGGGGGAGCTAAATTTGAACTTAATTTTTCAAAAGTGAAGGTATAAACTAAGACATTTCAATTTTCTAGTGTTGTTTTCTCATGTGAGCATGAATATTTATCTTGCTATATATATTAAAACATCAAAACTTTCCAATATATTGAATTCATGTGAAAATAAAAGAAGACTTCAAAATGCTAAGATTAGTAGTGCCTTAAAATTAACATGAGAAATATTTTATTTCTGCGGCCCTTTTCACAGCATCTTTTACCTCCTTGTTCCTCAGACTATAAATCAGTGGGTTTAGCATAGGGATCACTAGAGTATAGAACACAGAAACCACCTTTTCCTGTTCTACGGAATACTGGGAGCTTGGCTGGATATAATTAAAACTTAGGGTCCCATAGAATATGGTCACAGCAGTCAGGTGAGAGGCACAGGTGGAGAAAGCTTTCTTTCTGCCTGAGGCTGAGCGGATTCTCAGAATAGCCCCAGCGATGAACATGTAGGAAATGATCACAATCAAGAAGGTGGCCATGGCAATGATTCCTGAGAAGATTAACAGCAGCAATTCGTTCATGGAGGTATCAGAACATGACAGTTTTAGCAATGGAGGAACATCACAGAAGAAATGACCCACGATGTTGGGACCACAAAAAGACAGTCTGCCTAAGCCAATTGTGTGTGTCAGTGAGTTAATCATGCCACCGATGCATGACCCAAAGACCAGCACTGCACACTTTCTCTTAGACATGGCTACAGTATAAAGCAGAGGATTGACAATGGCCACATAACGGTCATAGGCCATCACCGACAACAAGAAGCCTTCTGTGGTAATGAGCACCCCGAAACACAAATGCTGGACTATGCAGGAGGAGAACGAGATGGTTTCCCTCACAACCAAGAAGCTGACCAGCATTTTTGGTGCAATAACTGATGAATAGCAGGCATCAACAAATGAAAGGCAGCTGAGGAAAAAGTACATGGGTGTGTGGAGCTTTGGGGTGATGTGGATTACAACGATCATGCCCAGGTTCCCCACCAGGGTAATGGCATAAATCCCCAGGAACAGCAGAAAGAGCACAATTTTCAGTTCAGCACGATCTGTCAATCCCAAAAGGATAAACTCAGTAACAACTGTGACATTCTCTTCAGCCATTTGTTAATTCCTTTTTCATCTGTGGTAGAAACATTAGGAGGATTAGAATGGATATAAGAGAATCTGGTATTTATCAAACACCAATAGAGACACTTGAGGACTGGTGAACTCGGATAAATGTTATTTATCTTCCTGAACCTAAATCCCCTCATTTAATATAAAAGCTTGAATATATTGTCTCTAAATTATTTTTCAGTGATAGTCACAAGTCAATATTAAAGAAATATGTGAAAAGTGCACTGGCTCTCAAAAAATGTCATTTTTTCCTCTAAAATGCCTGTCTCTACAAAAAGGTGATACTTACATGAGGTATGTTGATGGTGACTGCAAGGAAGATGAAAGTATTTTTAAACCTGTTTTTAAATCTTCATTTTGAATTTAAAAGCAATAAATGACAAAAAGATAAATCAGCTCTATGATTAACTATGTAGGCAATCCATAAATATATTAGGAATTAGCAAATATTATGATACAGAGGCCCTGGTCTCTAAAAGGGTAATGACAAAGTACCCTTTACAGTACATAAACCAGGCCAGCTCATGATGTGGTGGTTAAGGCTGCCATAACCTACATGGCTGACTGTGCAGTTCGAGTCTCAACCTGGTGACTTGAGAAGCATTCCAGGTGCATGTGTATGTGTGCCCAAAATCCAGCAGAAAAGACTAAAGTGTTATCTTACCCGTATGGGGTGCTTTCTCACTTTCCCTTTCCCTCTTGCTCTTCTCTCTCTGTCTCTGTCCAGTGAGCATACTCATCATCTGACAATTAAAATAAAATTTAAAAAGTGCATATACCTCAGCCTTCTTCTGTCATCTCCTCATGAGCATTATTTAGACAGACACAGTGAATCACTCAGCTCTGAGACCCAGGACTCAAAAAATTCCTTTCCTTGCTTTTATGGACTAGTTAGAAAACGTCACAGGGTATCTGATTCTTCAAAAACAAAACAAAACAAAACACACACACACACACACACACACACATATATATACTTTCATTCTGGCATTATTTTATGTATCAATGTTTATGCAGATAATAATGTACAATATAACATTATTTTTGTAAGTATGTATATAATAGAGTATTTATGTATACATATAAAAGATAAAATGTTAAATGCAGATACTTATAAAAAGCTATTCACCTGGGAGGTTTTTGATGTCATTCATATTGTGATAAATATATACAGCGTTTATGGTTTTCCAAATCCAGTTTCCATTACATATTAAGTTACTCATATTTTTAATTTAAATATATTATATTTCCATAAGAGTCAGTATGCCCATAATAGACCAAAACTTTCTATCTCTCAATCTTCTATATTCTGTAAGTAAAAAAGCTATAGAAAGAAAGAAATATATGTATGTCTACCTTAACTATGTCACTTCTATTAATTCATCTTTCTTAATGCACTTCAATTGCCACAGTGAAAGTGGATAGCATTAGCTCATTTCTGCATTTAAATATTTAGTTGTCACTTATTTTACTGTATTATTTTGGGAAATTTATTTATCTCTTCCAAGGCAACACACATGCCATAGAATATTTTTAAGGAAAATAGCAGATACCGCATGCAAAATGTCCAGTGTTACTTTAGTTATACTATAAATTATAGCTATAAATGCAGAATGTAGTTGTAGAATAAGAATCTGAGTGATATATTGGTAGACAAATGCTATGATATCTTTTTTTAATTTTTATTTTGGAGGGGATGATGATGTGAATAACTCATGGAGAAGGTTTCAGCCATTCTATTTCCCCAATTTTAAATCTCTATTTTATTTTAAATGATGATTAAATGGAAGTATGAATGTGTGGTTTACAAATGATTTTAATCTATTATTGGTCTAAAAGTTGTCAAGATTTCTCACATGCTGCTTGAAAACTACTAGATTATTTGTCACCACATAATATTAAACCTTGACATTCAAAACTGAATATCGTGACGGTCTACCATACTGTCTAACTAAGTAGCCAGTAACTATGTGAACATTTAAATAGAAATAGAAATTCATTAAAGGTGAATTAAATGAAAACATTAGTATTTTGAACTATACCCTTTTCAAATACTCTATAGGTGTACATGACTGGTGATCACTATTTGAAAAGCACAAATTACAGGAAGGTTTTATTACTACAGAAGGCTGTATTAGTTTGAGCTCTTTTAGTCCTGTCTTATCTTCCTAGAGTACTAATTAAATAAGATCTTCTCAAGGAACCATTGTTTATTGTAAATTGTTTTAATTCTAAGTATACTTAAAGAAAACTTGGTTTCCAAAGGAAGTTAGCAATTCACTTATGTACTACTTCAGGGATGTCCTTTCTCTGAAAATTAAGGGTAATTTTGTCAATAGTGTTAAATAATACTTGTGAAATAGATTCAAATGACCTCTGGTAATCTTAAAATTCATATGATTTTTATCAGATTTAAAATGAAAATTTTATAATATGCTAAATATGAGAAAATTTAAACAAAGAAGAAAAGCATTATTGTGAAGGAAACATAAATTACATAACTTACCAAAAAATCTTAAAATTTCAGAACTAGAAGCATCATGCTCTTTTTCAGAGTTTCTTACCCTTTTCTCATAAGCAATTATGGGTAATGGTTATATGAAACTGCAGAATTCTAAAATTATTTGTGAAATATAACCAAAAGTAACTGAAAGTATAAAAAATGAAGGTTATAGTTAACTATTGATACAGAGAAATATGTAAAACAAAACCTTAATTATTCATTTTTCCTCTAAGAGGACAAATTTGATTTGAAAATACATATATATATATGTACACATAATACCTCTAATAAACCTTATCACAACTTAAGTATTATGGAGAAGCAAATGAAACCTACGAAGCACTCTGTGTCTTAAGGGACATTCAAATTTCCCATGACTCAGGTATCTCCCTAAAGTGTGTATTCACTAAACTGCTATAATTATTTGAAAAAAAAATCAAGCAATAAGCAGGAAATTTATAAAATTGGTAAAATACAGTAGAAACAATATTTTAAAATAACTTATTCAATATAATTATGAATTACTAAGTGATAAATAATTAGCTGTCATTAGGCTATTGCAGTCCTCCGCCACCCCCAAATAGTCATGCTATATCATGATCTTCTTGCCTCAGACTCCTGAGTAGTTGGTACTATAGACACTGACCACCACATCAGGTCTTTCAGAGTGGGATAAGAATTAAACCAGCAGGTGACATGGTGGTTATGTCACTAGACTCCCACATAGTCGACCATGTTCAAATCCTGGACCCGAGGTGCTAGGAAGAGAAAGGGCAGAGAGCACTGAGCTCCACTTAATATACCTACTATCCGCACTTCATGGTAGAGATCGAAATATTGGAGGGTATAAAAGCAGTGCAAATAGTTAGTGATGATTAAGACAGTGTGGAATCGGGCAGGAGGAGAGTATGAAGAAGGATAGCAAGAGAACAAATAGGCATGAGAGTAGAGGGACACCTATGATTTATTACCTATTGATGATGACGTGTATAGTATTCTCAAATGGACTGGTCGGAGAAGTATTTCATGTTGGGTATAGTCTTTTTACAAGCAAAATGATAAGTAGCGATTGAATGTTTACAAAAATAATTGGAATAATAATTATAATAATAATCCGAGAAAAAATAATGAAAAGCTATTTGATGATGATGGGGATTTTAATGTCTTTGTATTGATTGATATACATGGTATTCTTTCCAGAAAAAGAAATGTAATACATTGTAAAGTTATATGTGATTCAATGTAGTATAAACAAGACTATGATAATTGGGTGACAGAGCGAGACAGAGAAAGGCAGCAGCGACCGCAGCAGGTCGCCGTCGCTCTGGACTGGAGTTGTCGGTTAGAGGAGGGGCAGCCGCCCGGAGCAGGAATTAGGTGGATACTTAGAATTGTTTGGAGTTGACACTGTAATTTCAGCCATGGGTTTGTCTGCATCTATTTCTCCTGTTGCAGTTCAGATCTCAGACCTTCAGATCATGAAAGATCATCCCCACCTTATGGATGCCCAATGCATGAAGGGAAGATGAAAGGCTGTCTGCTGAGCATGCAACCATCCGACCCAAACTGTGAGTAAGAAGTACTCTGTACCTGCCCACCAGCACTACACATACAAGTATGTGAAGTGTCCCGTCACGGGTGCCATGACTGGAAAGGAGAATTTAGATCCTTCAAATCTGATGCCACCACCTAATCAAACACCAACCCCAGATCAGTCGTTTGTCTACTGTCCGAGAGGAGTCTTCCATTCCGAGAGCAGATTCAGAAAGAAGTGGATTTATCCTTCTGAGCAAATGTTCTGGAATGCAATGTTAAAGAAAGGGTGAAAGTGGAAGGAGGAGGGCATCAGTCAAAAAGGCAAGTATAATATCATTAAAATTCATAATCAGAATAATGAGCAGGCTTGGAAGGAGATTTTGAAGTGGGAAGCCCTTCATGCCAAGGAGTGCCCATGTGGCCCATCCTTTATCTGGTTTGGAGGGAAGGCAAAAGAGCATTCACCAAGGGCACGAATTTGCTCATGGTTATGAGTTGACTTTTGATAGGCACGATTGGGTCATTGACCATTGTGGGACAGAAGTTAGATACGTCATTGATTACTACGATGGCGGTGAAGTCAACAAGGACTACCAGTTCACCATCCTGGATGCCCGTCCCGCCTTGGATTCACTTTCAGCAGTGTGGGACAGAATGAAGCTTGCTTGGTGGCGCTGAACTTCGTAACCTCTGTTTTGATTGTGATAGAAATTAATATAAACTATTTTTTCTGAGAGATATATTAAACTATTTTCCCCAAAGTGAATTGTTCTTTTGATGTAACATAACTTTAAGCGGGTAGTCACTCTTTATCCTCCACTTAGCAAAGGGTACCATTGCATTCACTCTTGGGTCACATGTGACCTTGCAGTTGATAGCAGATCATTTATGTTTTGTTCTCACTTAGCTCAAGTGGAAAGTGGTCCCTCTGTTTTTCTTTCAACTC